GAGGGTTTAAAGTCGCTGCGGTAATGGAAGATAAACCTCAGGATATCGATCACATAATATTCGTTATTCATGGGATTGGTCAAAAGAGAGATACCGGAAAGATTATTCGTAATACAACTTTGTACGTAAATCATATAACTAACAATTATTATGCATTTTAAGAAGAAATCTAATACCGTTCTTTATTGTTTGTTAGATTCAGGGATTGCGTAGATTGGTTGAAACAGAAATACTTTCCTAATTCGAATTACAGAGTTGAATTTTTCCCCGTTGAATGGCGATCGTCGTTGAAACTCGACGGAGGTACGTGGTTAAAGTTTACAGAGTGTATCTATTTTTAGCTATACATTTACTCAATCAAGTAAATCCTACTAAGCGTTGTACATAAACAATAATTTCTAGGTATAGTAGAAGCTATCACACCATTTAGCGTAGTGAGCATACGGCACTTGTTAAATAACTCGGCAATGGACATACTCTACTATACGAGTCCTCTTTACGGTGGGGAAGTAAGAGCAGGCTTGCAGAAAGAGTTGAATAGATTATACTTCATGTTCGCTAGTCGTCATCCCGGATGGAAAGGGAAAGTCTCGATTCTAGCACACTCGTTGGGATGCGTAATCGTTTATGATATCGTGACAGGTTGGATGGGTCCGGATACGAGACCGCCGTCCCCAGAGACTCAAGAAATTTTCAAACAGCGATTACAATTTCCAGTAAGTGTCAGTACATCACACGTACACGTTGCCTAACGTTTATATACGACGAACATAAACTTGATTCAACGTACCGTTTAGAGATTTTTCGAATAAATTTTTTTCATCGTTCCAGATTGAAAATTTATTTTGTTTGGGTTCTCCGCTATCAGTATTTCTCGCATTACGTACACCTCTATCGAACAAAACAGACGTGATGCCTCAAGGTTTATGCAAACGATTTTACAATATATTTCACTGGTCTGATCCCGTAGCTTATAGAATGGAACCGCTCCTAGAGAGAGAATATAGCAAAATTGAACCGGTTCTTATACCACCGTACGGAGGAGGGGAGGGCCAACAAGCGGAACAGCCGGCTCCAACGATAACTAACGCCGACCAACCTTTTCCTACTTCAGGTACAGCTTCAACAGTTTCCATACGTTTTATCTTCGCTTTATGTACATATGTCTAAGGTAGATTGTGTTTAGTTGCAGACACCGATGAGAGAGACGAAAATCCTGTAGATATATCTAATCGTACGCCGGACAAAGGTTGGAGTCTTTGGGGATTAGTTCGAGCTGGCTGGAACGTTAAGGAAGGTGTTCCTACGTCTATCCAACCGGACCAAGGTAAAAATAATATATATACATATCGGCTATCTGTAGATTTTCGTTATATGTCTCTCTTTCTCTCTTTGGTAGTGTCTCATCCGATTTTCATCTTGATTTTCTCGCGATGGTTGCTCGTAGTGAAAAGTGTTCCAAACAAGGCTTGCTGAGATGTGAAAATCGAGTGAGACACAGATGTACAGAAACGTTAACATTCATAGAATAATCATATGTCTTTGTACTTCATTAGAATTAACAGAACGATTGGATTACGTGCTCCGAGCGAGTTTAGGAAGAAATTACTTATACACATTAGCAGCTCATACAACGTATTGGAGCAATTACGACGTAGCCTACTTTGTGCTAACACGACTATTCCCAACGTTAGAAACGTGATGTTGGTTTGTACATCTATTTAAAACGGAATGCAATTAGATTCTACGAAAATTTACTAGTCCACTAGTAGGCCTTTAACTAAAATTCAATATCTTAAGTAGGCCTACCGACAAAACGATCTGTGATAATGGGGGAAAAAAAGGATACAATAATATCGTAGATTATACGCAATTGTTTTATATCGCTCGCATAATTTAACATTAGCACGGTCGAGTTTCACATCCAAAAAAAAAGACAAACAAATAACGAAATACGATTTTGCCTCAGAGCCTGAATCAGAGTCGACTTTACGTATTCTAAAATATTGCCTGTTTATAACACGCATATCATTCCACGATTTAGCCACTCCAGCCCCCTGAGAAATAGATTACTTCTCATAATTTTATATGGGAATATCGTGAATAATTTAATAGAAAATCTGTTTCAGGGTATTCATACATTGAAACGTAATTTTAAAGCTTGAAGAATAAAATTCCAAGTGAATTGTGAATTCCAAAAAATTGTATTCCCATAAAAAGATGACAATTATTTTTCTGGGCACTTGAGTGGCACCCCCATAAACGATAGGATGAATATACAATTATTTAAATGATCGAATCATTTTGTTGTTGGTTATTAGCAAATTTATTTTGATTAAAGAAACA